TAATCCTAACAGGAAAAGGGAATGAATTTTATGAGAGGATAAAGTTGCCTTAGAATATAACTCTGAAGGAAGGTTTTGTTTGGGGGGTGGGGGGGAAGCTATTAGAGACTCTGAGAAAAATAAGCAATTCCCTGATGGCAGCACCTTTAATCAAAATTACCCAAGTAATGTGCTCTGATCTATTAAAAGTTTTATTAGTAGAATATTAAACATATTCTAAGCACAAATGGTTGAATCTTTTGGACACTAGTACTAATTCCAGGGTCTCATATGTGACAGGCGAGTGTTCTGCCACTGAGCTACAACTCCTTCCCTTCTTTTCCTTTCTTAATTTTGAGATCTCACTAAATTATCTAGGCTGGCCTTGAACTCACCCTGTAGCCCAGGCAGATCTTCAAAATTATGATCCTCTCATGTAGCTGGGATTATAGGCCACACCACCAATCCCAGCAAAATGATTCCTCTTTAGGAAATAATATAACCAAGGACATATGCTCACTATTGACAACCATGATGAACAGAGTTTATTCTTCCTTTCTAAATGAGACACTTGCCTCAAAGTCATAATAAGAGTGTGAATTAGCTGGACGTGGTGGCACAGGCTTGTAATCCCAGCTACTCAGGAGGCTGAGGCAAGAGGATTGTGAGGTGGAAGACAGTCTGGGCAATTTAGTGAGAACAAGTCTCAAGGTAAATAAAAATTGAAAATAAAATAAGTCTGTAGATCTATTACTGAAGAACACAGGGAGAGCAGAAGAAGGTGGAGGAAAAGGAGGCAGAGCAAAAAAAGAATGTGAATTTAGGCTTTACAGAGGAATATGTGTTTCTAAAATAGGCAGTAGTAATATGTAAGCCCAACAAATAAGCTGAAAGATCATTTACTAAACCCAATCTCATGTTTAGGTGGCCTTTCATACTATTTGAATGTACCAGAAGATTCCTTTGCTCTTGAGGAAATTCAGATATGTCTTAATATTGTAAGTGGAGAAATCACTTAGGAAGATACACTGTTAATCTAATGCTATTCTGATAAATTGTCCCCATCACACATATATGCCATATGCTCCTTTATGTCAGTGACATGAGCAGTAACATCCCAAGTCAAAGTCACATAGCAGGTCACTTTGAGAGCTATGGGGGAAGAGTTCTTGTTTTCATTCTCAGGTATGTGCTCCCTAGTTTGTAAAAAATCTGATAAGCAAAAGCATCAGTGCACAAATAGATGAATTGATCTGGGGAAATGGCTCAGGGGATAAAGTACTTGCCACACAAGTGTGAGGACCTGAGTCAGAGCCCCAGAACCTATGCAAAGCCAAGCACAGTAGCACGCATCTGAAATCACAGGGCTCCTATGGTAAGATGGAAGGCAGAGGCAAGCAAATCCCCAGAAGTGCATGTGCCAGCTAACCTAGTATACACTTCAACAAACAAGAGTCCATCTCCAACTAGCTAGGGGGCAAGAATCAACCCGAGATTGTCCTCTGAATTCCAGATATGCACTGTGCCATGCATATGCCCACACACATATGAACATGCACACACATACACACACATCATGCACTCACACATACAAAGATGAATTAAAGAAAACCCAAGTGGGGATTACTTATATGTCAAAGGAGTTTCTTTCCTTGAAATAAGCATTTCTGAAGAATGTAATATTTTCCAAGGAGCCTGGAGCATTGGTAATTAAGAGGCCTTGTTTCTCTACCACTAATGAAGAATATAAGCCTGGGCATGCTAATCCTTTCGTTCATCCATTCACTCATCCACTGAATCATTAATACTGTTACTCCATGAATCTTTCATGAGCTTTCAATGTGGTGAATATGTGAAGATCATAAACCCTGCCATTAAGGTGTTTATAGATTACAAGAGTAAGGTAGGTGTGTAAACAAATGGAATCAAATTTTGATGATGGGGCAAGGAGGCCTGTTAGGAGACTGCCACAGTCTAAACACAGTAACAGAATAAACTGTAGTGGTAATGTTAGACTTGGGACATGGGGAAGGATGCTACCTCAAAGGACAAGAACCTGCATGATATGATAGACTGGAGCTGGGGCTCAAGGAGAGAGGCTTTGGGGAAGATTTCAAAACTTTTGGCCAAGGTTAGTTGGCTGAACTATGGTTCCTTTCATGAAGAGAGGGAATTTGGGAGGAAGAAGAGTTTGGAGGTCAAATAGCAAAGATTAATTTTGGACAAGTAGGGAATAAGATTATGGTAGGATGACCAGGTGATATTCAGCCTGGAACTCAATGTAAAAGGGCTGGGTAGAAGTTTGAGACTAAAGAGACATTTGAAGAGATGTGAAAGCAGTAAATGAGATGGGTCACATAAAGCCAGAAGATAAGAAAAAGTATGAACTCTGTGTGGTGAGAGGATGGAAATTCAGGAGCTGGAGAAAGAGACTGGATAATGGCACAGGGAAAGCTTCAGCTTAAGGGAATGGCCCAGAGTGGTAAATATCAAGAGACTCACAAATGAAGAGAATCTATGCCAAAGTTTAGACTAGCGTTGCCCCTTGCCAAAGCAGTTTAGGTAGCATTATGGGAAGAAAGGTGGGAGTGGAGCTTATTAAGACTTCTCGAAACAGAAAGAGGTGGGACAGTTTTTCTTATTCCTTTTTATTTTAATTTTAAATTTTATTTCAGTTTTATGTGTATGAGTATTTTGCCTGCATGTATATAGGTGTACTCATGTCATGCAATGTCCATGGAAGACAGAGGAGGGTAGTGGATTCCCTAGAATTAGAGGTAGAGATGGTTGTTAGCAAACATGTGGGTGCTGGGAACCAAACCTGGGTTCTCTGCAAGATCATCTTGTGCTCTTAACTGCTGAGCCATCTCTCCAGCCCCCAGTTTTCTCATTCTTGCATCTGTCTTCTGTGTTATTGAAGACTTTAGCGGAGTAGCTGACTATGGAAGCAGTGTGACCTATGCAATAACAGCAATATTCCTTGAAGTACACACAGCCTTAGAATAATTAAAATTTCTCTTCTTTTTTGTTTTTGCTAGTCACCATTTTACTTGGTCTTTTTTTTTCTGTCTTAGACTTACAGGTCATTCTTTAAGATAGAATTCTTCCTCCCACTGCATGATTACCTGAGCAGAATTTTTAGTCTTTGCAATGAGATATGAAATAACCAAGCGTTTGATGGAGCTGGGCAGGTAGAGTCCCCGAGAGGGATGAATATGCCAGGAATTTGGTGGACTTTGAAAGACAATTGACTCTCTAAGTGCAAATAAATATTGCTTTCTAAGGAATCTTATATTCTCAACATAACCTATCATTTATAAATGCTGAAGTACCTTTTAAAGATTTATTATGGTATTAGATGAAATTTTTGTTACGTAGTATTGCCTTGATATATCTGATAATTCTTTCTGCTCCTATAAAGGAAGAGGATTGTGCATGGTTGGTATGGTTTTCACCATAGAGTATAAGCAGCAGAAAGAACATGAGTCTGTTAGGAATAATTAGGGAAAAATCTATCAGAGAGTGAAAGGAGAAAGTGATCTGTGACCGTTAACTTCACTTTTAGCATTTCACTTTGTGTTTTTATTCTTATATGCATAAGATGCCTATATGAAATTTCATTTTATCAATACTTTTTTTAAATGATCCAAAATGAAATCTATACACTAGAAGTAGAGGCTGTTCCGAGTACAACGTGGCATGCTGCTTTATAATATACCTTTTTATGATAAGTAGGGGTGCTCTAAGAGTACAGCAAATACACACCCCTGGCCACACAGCCCCTTATCATTACTATCAAGTGTTACAGACTGTACACAGTTGTATGTACTACTCTTGTATATGATTGGTAGCATAGTTGTTTGGTTTTTTTTTTTTTTTAACACCAATGCCATTACAAATAGGTGGGTAGTACATTGTGCCACATCATGACTAACAAAATGTCACAAGATGATAGGAAATTTGCAGCTCCATTATAACTCAGGGACCACATTCAGATATGTTCATATGGTTACACATGGTGGTAATTAAATGAAAATGTTTAAAGCGCCCTTACGTTTCTGTGAATGCTGCTCAGTTATTCTTGCACTATAAGCTGTGCCTGTCACAGTTCTCATTTCCAGGTCCATAGAGGTGATGCATTCAATAACTTGGCCTTTTAGTCTACTATTTTCCTTTCTTCCAAGATGGTAGACCTCACCTTAACTTCAGCCATGATTAGACCTTAAAACTGGCCATTATCAATCCCTTTCTCCATATCTGGTGGTCTCCACTTGATCTTAGCCACAAGGCTGAGAACACATATGCCAGGTAATCTTAGTTTCAGTACCCTGCCACTCAATTTTCCAGCTCACTTCTAACTCCTCTGTCTCAGTAATTATCTATCCCAGTAGCTGGACAAAATCTGTCCGTCTGCCTTTCCACCATCTGTCCCTCCTCCAAGACATAGTGCTTCACTTCCTTTCCTACTTAAGATTTTCCGCAGAAGTTGTTACTCCCTTGTGTCTCTCTTACTTGTTGTATCTAATGGTAACACCCACAAACCTCATTAAATTCAGATCTATTGGTTATGATTTTTCTCCCTAAAGATGAGCTAATGCTAAAGAGATGCAACTACACCATTTTATTTACTCTTTAAAATCAATGCTATCAAACCAGGCATGGTGGCGCACGCCTTTAATCCCAGCATTCGGGAGGCAGAGGCAGGCGGATCTCTGTGAGTTCAAGGCCAGCCTGGTCTATGTAGTGAGTTCCAGGCCAACTGGGGCTACAGCGAGATCCTGTCTCAAAAAGACAAAAAAAGTTTTTTTGTTTAAATGTTTAAACGAGAAAAATTCCTACTAGTAAATGGAAATGTTTCAGTGCTTGAAATTTTTATATATTCATGTTGTTGCCATGAAATATTAGCACCCTTAATGTATAACTTGTATTTTAGAAATAAAATAATCCAATTGTTTCATGTAACTAATGATTTTCTTACTAACACCATATGACTAACGTATATGTGTATGTATGTTTCTTAGGAGATTGCCCGGCATTTACGTCCTGAGACCCTCAGAGCAGTCTTTGGTAAAACAAAGATCCAAAACGCTGTTCATTGTACAGATCTGCCAGAGGATGGGCTCCTGGAGGTAAGAAGGGAAGGCGTCCTCTTCATATTTCAGCTCATAAATAATCTCAGCAGTTCTTGCACAGAGAAACCCTTTACTAGTCTTAGATTACACTAGTTTTGGCCATCTAATAACATCACACTAACTAATGCAATAAATCAGATGTACCTAAGCACAGTAGAGTATACCTGTGGTCCCAGGTGCCCCAGAGGTTGAGGCAAAAAGCAAAAGAATTTCTTTCTTTTTCCTCTTTAAAAAGATTTTTGTTTAACATTTTATTTTTATTTATATGAGTGTATTGCTTGCATGTATGTAAGTGTACCTGTGTCATGCAGTGCCCATGATCAGAAGAGGATGTTGGATCCCCTGGAACTGGGTTTATGGATGGTTTTTAGCTACTTTGTGGGTACTAGGATTCGAACCTGGGTTCTCTGCAAGAACAACCAGTACTCTTAACCACTGAGCCATCTCTCCAGCTCCCACAAAAGAATTTCTTCATTTCAGGAGTTCCAGACCAGCCTGAGTAACACAGTGAGAATAATGAGAGCTCTGCTTTTACTATTCTGCATATGTGAAAAGCTAGTCATCAAAGAATTAAGACCTTTGACTGGCATGTATTATAGTTTTAAAATAATTTCATAAGCAAGAAACTATAGCCTCACTTAAATCATGCAGAATATATATTATACCAGGTAAGTGACAATACTACTAATATTAAGTTGATAATCATAAAATATTCTAATGAAGCTTAAGAAGTACATCATAAATATGATGGCATTAAAAACAGTAGCTCCATTTATCGGTACTTTTTATATACCAAGTTTGACTATGATAAATGCTCTGTGTAAATAATTTCTGTTTATTGTTGTAGTAATTCTAATAGGCTGGTATTATGTCTTACTTTTCAGGAAAATGAAATCAGTACTCAGAAAGCTTTAACATCTTCAAATCGAATAGTTAATATACAGAACTGTGTTTTAGTCATATCTATTGAATTAACATTAATATGAATTAACATATAATAAATAATTGTTTAAAATAAGTGCAATATAACCTGATTTTGGATTAAGAAAGTTATTTTCAATTGTAATCAACATGAATAACTACTAAGAAAGTAAAAGATGATAAAGAGGTTCCTCAAAAAATTGAAACTATAAGTGCCCCATTATCCAACAGTTCCAGTTTTGGGTATATAGCCAAAAGAATCGAATACAGGGGTTCAAAATGACACTGATATGTACATGTTCATAGCAGCACTATTCATAACAGCCAAAATCTGTAACCATTTCAGATACCCATCAACAGGTGAATGGAGATGAATGGATCAATAAAATGTGGCACATACATGTGAAGGAATATTCTTTTTAAGAAAGGAATTCTCCCAGGTCCTGAAACATGAATGAGCCTTGAGGCCATTAGGCTAAGTGAAAAAAGTCAGTCACAAAATGGGAGATACTATATAATTGCTGTGACATGAAGTGCCTAGAGCGGCCAAATTCTAGGGGCAGAAAGAATCATGGTGGTTGCCAAAGTCTAGGGTAAAATAAGGGGAAATTATCACTAAGTTGGCAGAGAGTGAGTTTTGTGGTAAAGAGTTACGGAGATGGGTGATGAGAGTTGCACAACAATATAAGTATAGTTAAAATTATTCTGTACACTTAAAATGGGGAAACAATAAGAGAGTCATTGCTAGGCCAAAGCAAGGAAAGAATTTTTAAGAAAAAGACTTTTTAGGGCTGGAGAGATGGTTCAGCAGTTAAGAGTACTGGTTGTTCTTGCAGAAGACCCAGGTTTGAATCCCAGCACCCACATAGCAGCTAACAACAGTCCATAACTCCAGTCCCAGGGGATCTGACAGCCTTTTCTGTCCTCCTCAGGCATTGCACGACATGAGTGCACTTACCTACATACAGGCAATACACACATACACATAAAATAAGAATAATAAAATATTTTTGAAAAGACAAAAAAATACGTATATATTATCAGGTATGTCTGTGACTTTTGTTCATATAACTTGAAATAGATTATTGTTGCATACAATTTATGAAAATATTTACAAAAGGATTAAAATATTTCCAACAAATTACACTGGGTATTTATTTCACTGCAAATTACTGACTGTGCAGTCTAGAACCCTAATAAAAAAGCACACTCTGTCAGCCTCCAGCATGTGACTGATTCATGCGAATGTGACCTTGCATGAGTCACTTTCCTCCCATGGCTCACTGCTAATCAGTCTAATAAAATAGGGAATGCTGATGAAACCAAAGATGCTTCTTCATTAGGGGTAAACGAGTTGTAGGCTGTTACTCGGCTTTATATATGGTGCTGTGTGTTCCTAGGTTTTCAAACTGAAATGCAGGATAAAAACAGGGGAGCACTTCATTTTTAAGATATGTTATCCATGGGGCTGGAGAGATGGCTCACCGGTTAAGAGCACTGACTGCTCTTGCAGAGGACCCAGGTTCGATTCCCAGCACCCATATGGCAGCTATGAACCATCCTTAACTCCAGTTCTAGGGCAATCCGAAGCCCTCTTCTGACCTCTGCAGCATTGCACTGCATGGGTGCACTCACGTACATGCAGGCAATACACTCATACACATAAAATAATTAAAAATAATAAATAGAAATATTTTTTAAAAGATATGTTATCCATGAAGGAATATACTGCAGACGGAGAGTGACCATTGTCTTTATTACCCAGTTCTGATCTTTTGGAAAGGCAATTTGAAACAAAATGCTAAGTCAAGGATCACAAAGAGAACAGGTACAGGCAGACTGAATTATCATCCCATTTCTGCAGCAAGAATGGGAAGCAGAGAGCATGTTGCTTCTCTTTCATCGTGCCCTACTCTGATGTTTACCAAGCTGTCTGTTTCCGTGCCGTATGTGTAGAGCTCCAAAAGGGTGCTTTCAATTTCTACTTTTCATCATCCATTACTATATATCTTTTATAACAGCCTGTTTTACTTGTAGGCATTTCGGTAGGATCTCAAAATCAAACAAAACTACTTACTGTTCTCCTAGAGCTCATAGTAGGTTTGAAAGGTCAAAGATCTTAGCATGCAAATAAAAATCTGTTTTCTTTGGATATCGCTAGTCATAACAAAGTTACTTTTGTGGTCATAGGAACAAGTGTTAAGGCTGTACTTACAACATGAAATGCCCTGGAATGTTGCTTCACTGGTGTTGTTATGATACTCTGTGGTTACAACTATGACATTCTTAAATTTATGTTTTGAAAGCATTAATGAAAAAACGATCTCCTCTGCTACTAACTAGAGTGCCTATTTATCTACTAATGGCAGAGTTTCTTTTATTTCTTTAATACCACATAATTACATGAAGCATTTCATTACAACAGCATTCAAATATTCAATAACAATTTCCAGAGCTAAGATGCACCTCTTTCAAAATTGGCTGTAAATTTTCAGGTTTACAGTTAAATTAATATGGTCATACAATATTCTACTCAGTATAAACCTTATAAGATGTAAAATTGAATGAGGTATTAACCTTTAAAAAAGACCTCCATTTCATTTTAAAATACACTGTTTCATACAGAAAAACTCATTTTTAATTCTACTAACACTTAGATGTTTGCACATACGTCTCTAATCTCTATATATCTGATTATTACTAGTCATAGTTGCTTACTTTCTGAGGTCCTTGGGACCTGAGCATGGATATAAAGTCATCAGGTAGATTTCAATGGTAATGTTTTTCACATCTAATTAACATGAAGCAAATTTTTATGCTTCTTCCTCAAATAGAACTCATTTTTTTATTTATTGAATTTTTTGTGTGTATTTCATCCAGAACATCCCAAACAATCTTATTCATCTATATACCCACATCTCAAGTGGCACCCTCCCATAGCCTCCTCCCCCACTGGAGCCCATATACTCTGTTATTCCTGTTAATGTCCACTGTGTTGTCAGAGCCCCCAACCATTCCCCAGTGCTTGTCCATCCACTGAGTCTAATCAGCCTATCTAGAGTTTCTTGTTTTAGGAAGATCAGCTCTTCTTCATCTAGCAGCAAGCAGTTGCCAATATTCCTCTACATAAGATTGGGGTCTCCTGTTCATTTTCCCAGTTCTATGCTAGGTTACTCTCTGGGAGTCTCTTGAGCTACCCTGGCCAAAAACTCAAAGGAAGGTATCTCTTGTCTCGCATTGTTTCTTGTTATGTAGCCTTTAGCTATACACATGGACTCTTAAAGAATTATATTGATCCCTTTAATTTTTAATTATACTTTCCTTTTGGGTGTTTAAGACCATGCAGCTGGCCCAGAAAAACCAATTTATTTTTACTCTTAAGGTCATTTGAGGATCTCTTCCTTAGGGGTCACAAGGGCTTGGGAGGAGCCCCTGGCTCCTTTCTTTTACCAGTTCTGCC